GCAGTTTCCATGGGTTACGTCTATCTTAAGCAATATGCTTTTCAAAATGTCACTTTGTTGTGTTTCTCCTATAAATTATACACAAACACAGTGTGGACAAGCACTTTGCAGAAATGCAAGTTCTCCTCTGTAAATGTCTCACATTTCAGGCAGGAAAGGATGGACATCTGTAATTTTGAAAGAATCTCTCCCATGTGAACACTGTGGTGATTTTTGTGGTATTTTTTGTTTTTGTTTTTTTTTTTTGTTTGTTTGTTTGTTTGTTTGGATTGGCAATATCATCCAAAAATACTTTCCTTTTATTTCAGAAATAGCCCAGATTATGATTCTTTTCCCCTCAGTTAAAGGGGAACTGTTCTCCTTAATGTCAAAAGCATTGTGTACTGTTCTTGCTCTTCATCTCCAGTTCTTCCATCATCCAGCAACTCCCTAACCTGATTTATCCTTTTTTAGTTTGTGAGCTACTCTTCTGTATGGAACCACAGATGTCACTGTGATTGCTATCGTTCAAGTACCTTGCTCTACTTGTTGATATTTGCCCCTCTGATGTGCTTTATCAGCATCTTAATGTGTGTGTTCACTGCTGCATACTCCCTGCTGCTTGATTCACTGTAATAATTTCTTGCTTTATGCTGCCTGAATTTTCAGACGTGAAGAAATACTTCACTTGAGACCCCTGGGTTTCCTCTGCTTTCTTCTTACTGATGTATGTTATATACACTATGCAAACATACCAGCCTCTATCTTTCCTGAGAGCAGTATTTGGAGAGGTCTCCTTGCCCTCATTTCAGGTGCTTTCCAAACTTCAGCTAGTTCTTCCCCTTTGTGCTGTGTTCTGAATTATTCCTGGGTGGCCCGGATGTTTGTTTGCTGCATTTGAGATGAAGCTTGAATTTTAAACGAGGTAGATTGTAATCTCAATTTGTATCTGGACCTTGCGGTGTTTCTCTTAGATGAGAACTCTGTTTTTCTCTCATTTCTGCACAATGATGCAATCAATTGGCTTTCTGTGGGGCTGATCAGAAGAGGTGCAATTCTGTTTTCCCATGCTGTGTTGGTGAAACAACGTGTTTGCAAGGATAAAAAGAGACTCTCAAAGCAGAGCTTAATGAGTCCATGCCCTAACTTGTTGATCTCACCCTCCCCCATTGCACTGGGGCACTGATCAAAACCTTTTCCCTCCCCTTGGATTTACATCTCATGTTTTCAGCAGTCTTGTATCAATGAGTCTTGTGTCTGGCGAACACTAGCCTGGTATGCTTTTTTTGCAGGGTTCTTAATATCAAATCTTGCTTGCATCCAAATGACAATACTATCAAATTACCCCGTTTATTTTCATTCTTTATAAAGGTACTAATTTTCAAGTGTTTACATCTAGGTATAGGTTTCCTAATTACCTGTGTAGAATACAATTGAAGCCACTTAAAAAAAAAAAATCTGTTTTTTTCTTGGTATAGAAAGAACATTCAAAATTTTGTACATAACTTAGAATTTAATTTCATATAGTCTGTGGAATTATTTCTTTATTTCTGGATTGTTGCACGAGTCTGTTTTTCCTTAAATTCTAGCAGTGTTTGTTGACATTGCCCTCTCTTATGAGTGTGGACTGGACTTACCAGCGACAAGTTAACCTGCTCTGAATTCACTTCAGTGTCTGCCAGTCCGTAGTTACTGCAAAGATTTCTTTTCTTTTTTTTTCCTCTTCTTTTCCCCTTGGCTAGTTCAGCATTTTCAACCATTTTCCTTATTTTCAAAGGCTTACGCCTGAGGGATTAAGATCTACATTCGCTTAATATCTGGAGTAAAGTGGAAGTTCCAAACTCCAAGGCTAAAACTTGAAGAAGTATATTTGTAGAGATTAATATTTTCCTGAGCAATCTGCGAGCTGAATCATCGTCTAATTAAATAGCATAGATTTAGTGAGTTTGCATTTAAACATTAGCAGCCCCTAGAATGGGTAAAGCTGAAATGAGTTTGAATCTTTTCTGTAAATGGAAAGTTAAATTATCATAGTAATTTGATTAAATCATTTTTAAATCTTCCAAGCCAAATCGCAGTTTTAAGGGAATAGTTTGAAGTTGTAGTCACTGGCTGTAAGTGCCTCTCTCCCCACTGTTTTTTCTCATTCCATTTCCTGTGCCATTCTCAGATCTATTTGCCTGGGTTTGGGTTTTGAAGCGCCGGACCATGGATTTCAAAGACAGCAACAAATATATTAAACGTTTTACTGCTGTTCCTCTTCCACATCAGCAATTGCTCTGTTTACCAGAGGGATGCTGTACGGTCACATCCGGACTCCATCCATGTATTTCCAAGCTCAGTTGTAAACGTTGGTTCTGGGAAGAACCAGACAAACTTTATACAAGGTTAAAAGCTGAACATTTATGGTCAGGTGCTCCAGAAAGGCCAGTCTCTCTATGCAGCATGGTGTAAAACTGTTTTTCTGGAAGAATCAGCCTTTGACCTGCCAAGAATTTTCTTGCTGCTAAAATGCTCCTATCCCATGCTCCTAACATTTCTGGGTTGTCTATACACCTGGCCCTGCACTGTGGGCTTGGAGAGAGGAGGAAAAGCTATGTCATTTCTGCACAAAGTGTGCATGGTGTGTGGAAAATGATTTGGAGTAGCCCATCCTACCCGTGCTCTGTACCACAACTGTGAATATCTGAGGACTTGGTGAAGAGTAGAGGAGCAATGAAGCCAATTTGTTTGGTGTTTGTATTCCAAATTAAGCCCAGTGATTGGACACCTTGCTTAAGACATTTGTCACGTTTGTCTGTGTGTGTGTTAGCATCTCTGTATTGATTGCATTCTGTTTGTAGGATACAGGATTCAGGGATTTTCTTTTATTGACACAGAATTATTTAATAGAATTGCCATATTAGAAGACTATCAAAAATGTATGGATTTGAGGAATGGGCTCACATTAATTAGAAGTAAATTTTGCTAGAGGTACCATTTCCCTGGCATCTTTCTTAAAATGGTGTAGCCCTCTTTTTACCTAAGAGAGATATTTTTTGGTTTCTCTGCTTTCAGCACAGTGCACCTCGATGTGCAGTATCACATCCCTGCAGCGTATGTCTCACTGCATGCTTCCTAGAGCATGTATCCGCTAAGACTCAGAATTATTAAACGTGAAATTCCCATAGGACTCCATTATGTGTAATTAACAGATAAACTGTCATCAGAATCAATAAAACGTGCTAAATGATCCAAACTTGTATATAATTAAGTGTCTGTTTTAGAGCAGGAGCTGTAACTTTTTTTTTTTTTCTTTTCAATTTGCACATTTGTTTTGACAATAGAAGCTGGAACATTTTGGTTAACCTGTTACTTACTGGTTCGTGTTTTGGTTTCATATGTTTGTGTTTAAAAAAGAGAGGTATTTACTATCCAGCCTAATTGTTTGAAGAAGTAGTTATATGTAAGCTTTCAGGAGATAAATCTTAGATGCATCTTCATTCTCAGAATATAATTCAAGTATTTGGGGCATGTGGAAAATTTGTTGCTGTTGTCATCAACAGGGGAAAAGCATGATGCCCACGCTCATCTAGTGCATCATAGCTGCTTAGTACAGGAGCTGGAAACATTTCTAGAAGTGGGTTCTTCCCTGTCCAACTTCTCAGTCACTGTTCTGCCTGAGAGCAGGAGCTTTATTCAAAAAAAAAAATTAAAAAAAATTAAAAAAAATCTGCAAGGTGCAAAGCAAGCATTGTATTAACTAGGTTTTTCAAGGAGATGCCCTAACGCAGCCATGGATTCACTGTCCCAGCTTCACCTTGTGCTAAGGTCACGCAGTGACCTAGGACATGCACCCCCTTGCAGCAGTTCGCATATGGTGCTTTATTTAAATTTTATGTAAGTCCACGGGCCAAAATCCCAACTCTGGTAGCTGATCAGGGGTGTTTGGCGGCCTATTTCACAAATAGCTGTTCTTCCTTACTTGCGTTCACCTCTCTTTGGACCACATCGCTTTTTCTTTGGCATTTATGATTACATAAAAGTCAGAGAATTAGGGCTGCTCGTCTGAAGTCATCTCAGCATGGTCCAGTAACTGCGTGTTCTCAGGGACATCTTCCCCTTTTGTATTTATGCTGTTTAGGGTTTTACAGTTATTTCAGTTAGATCTTTTCTTTTTATTTCACACTTCCATTGCTTTAATCTTTCCAGGTCATGTAGCAGCTTAGTTTAGTTCCTGGTGTGCATTTTGTCTGGGCTTCTCACTCAATACTTACACCACCAAAACATCTCACCTGGAAAGGTACAGGATGAGGTGCTTGCTTTGAGTGATTAAAAAAAAAAAAGCAGAATACCAACAACAACAAGATGAAGCATCCTCCGAGTGAGTAGGAGGAAAGGATTACACCTAGTAGGAAATGTTAGCTTGATAGAGCAAAAGCTGCTCAGGACCATGTTAAGTGTTGCCTCTCTATGTGAACATGCCAGAGGGAGAAAAACTTTGCTGAGCCTATCAGGAAACCACATCAAACCCTCCTTTCCCTTGTGTCAGTGAAGTGGTCCTAATCCTGTCATTTTTATGTAGCCATGAGCACCACCGACCAGCGGGTAACGACCACAGCTTCTAATCCCTCAGCCTCGGAGCCTGCCGCAGAAGTCTACCAAGCTTTCACGTAACGGGGCAGTCATTCTTGCATCCCTGATAAAATGCGGACTTCAGCTCGTACAGCCATTTGCCCTTTGGCGCTGTAATTTCTTTGACGCAGTAACTGTAAGAGGTGGTTTATGGAGCAGCTCAGGCGACCGTTTTCCTAGTTCGAGGAGGATGAGGAGAAGGATTACTTACCCAAAAGTTAATTATACATTTGTAGCTCCACTGTGGTTCCAGATAGTGTTCTGAAGGTCGATACAGAAATAAGTGGGTAATTATCTTCCTCCTCTGTAAAAGAGGACAGCACCAGTGAAAGAGCTGTGCAGCCACTGGGTTACCTGACTTTGTGGCACACCAAACTGAAACCTCTTGTTGCTCCTTTGTTTTGCAGACTCAATGCACATAGAGGATGTTGAGGCAGTGCAGAAACTTCAGGACGTCTTACACGAGGCTCTGCAGGATTACGAGGCCGGACAGCACATGGAAGACCCACGTCGCGCTGGCAAGATGTTGATGACTCTCCCACTTCTGAGGCAAACCTCCACCAAGGCTGTGCAGCATTTCTACAACATCAAACTGGAAGGCAAAGTCCCCATGCACAAACTTTTTTTGGAAATGCTGGAGGCCAAGGTCTGACTAAAGCATCATGGGGCTTTCCCATCATGCACGTTTTAAAAAAAAAAAAAAAAAAAAAAAAAAAAGGGAAAATAAACAGGATAATAATGGCAAAGAAACTTAGTGTTTAATTAAGGAAAAAATGACTGCACTGATATTTAGCAGCAAGACTGTGAAGCAGCTTTCAACTTTTTCTTCTGTGTCTTTCTGATGCAGTTTTTCCTTTTCCTTTTCTCTCTTTTCCTTTCTGTTCTTTCCTTTCCTTTTTCCTTTTCTCTTTTTCCTTTGCTGCTGAACTTTTTAAAAGAGGTCTCTAATTGAAGAGAGATGGAAGCCAGGCCTGCCAAAGGATGGAAATCCATAATATGGATGCCAGTGAACTTATTATGAACCATAATGTCCCCAATGACAAAGGAATCAAAGAGAGAACCACCGTACCTAGCAGTACAGTACAACACGATGAACTGACTGAATGCAGTATTAGATTTCATAGGAGCAGTCTCTAATTAGACGACTAAGCGACGATGCATCGGCTGCTTCTTATCATTGCATTTTCCATCTAGATCAGTTACAGCCATTTGATTCCTTAATTGTTTTTTCAAGTCTTCCAGATATTTCTTAGGTTAGCTACAATGTAACTTTTTCAGGGAATAGTTTAAGCTTTATTCATTCATGCAATACTAAAGAGAAAGAAATACTGCATTTTTGTGCTGGCTTGAACAATGATGAACAATAATGAAGGACAAATGAATCCTGAAGGAAGATTTTTTTAAATGTTTTGTTTCTTCTTACTAACGGAGATTTTTTTGTACCAGCTTTACCAGTTTTCAGCCATTTATTAATGTGGGAATTTATCTTACTAAAGCAATAGTTGAAGGGAAGGTGCATATTATCACGGATGCAATTTATGTTGTGTGCCAGTCTGGTCCAAAACATCCAGTTTCTTAACATGAGCTCCAGTTTATAACTAAATGTTCACTGACTCAAAGGATTAGATTACACCTACCGTATATCTGAGTAGTCTAACATTTAAATACTCCATGTCAAGTACCAATCTATAAAGGTGTAGGAGACAGCGACTGTACAGAGGTATAGTTGCTGTGTGATTTCTAACTGCTTCAGTTGTCAATGAATGAGATACTGCCTGTTTGCAAAATTATAACCTTACACACAGGAGAACCCTCAGAACCGATAGTAGCTTAGAGGCAATAAGGCAACTGCCAATGTCTGCAAAATTAAGAAATCAGAGTAGTAGACTTCTGACCAAATTCAACAATTTAACACTTCTATACCTTATTTATTGATTTAGATTTTATTTTGTAAATTGCAATTGTTAACAAGTAGCTAAACCAGTATATGTGCTTTTCAACCAGTATTGTCACAGCATGAAAGTCAGTCAGTTTCAAGACTGTTAAGAGGTGTAATCTAATGTATAAACCAATTAGATGCCCCCAGAAAACTACAGTCGCTAAATAACCAATAAACAATAACCTCCATCAAATGCTATACCAATGTACCAGTGTTAGTAGCTGCTCCCTGTACTATGTGAACATCCTTATTCTATGTACACAGATGTAATTAAAATTGTAATCCTAACAAACAAAAGAAATGTAGTTCAGCTTTTCAATGTTTCATGTTTGCTGTGCTTTTCTGAATTTTTATGTTGCATTCAAAGACTGTTGTCTTGTTCTTCTTGTGGTGTTTGGATTCTTGTGGTGTGTGCTTATAGACACAGGGTAGAATTAGAGACAATATTGGATGTACAATTCCTCAGGAGATTACAGTAGTATATTCTATTCCTTACCGGTAATAAGGTTCTTCCTAGTAATAATTAAGAGATCGAAACTCCAAACAAATACTCGTTATGATCAGATACACGTCGAAATCATAATATTTTCAAAACAAGGGATAATTTCTGTAACAGTTTATTATAGAATACCAATGTATAGCTTAGAAATAAAACTTTGAATATTTCAAGATTATAGATAAGTCTAATTTTTAAACGCTGTAAATATAGCTTTTATTCAATCATCTCTCAGATGTTGTTATTAACTCGCTCTGTGTTGTTGCAAAACTTTTTTGGTGCGGACAAGTTTCCAAAACTATTGCTACGTTGTGTGCTTTAAACAAAATAACAATGGGCTGATGCTCCATCAGCCTTGTGCTAGAAAAAAAAAAAAAGAAAAAAAACTGTGTATCTATCATTAGCTATATGGGACTATATTGTAGATTGTGTTTTCTCAGTAGAGAAGTGACTGTAGTGTGATTCTAGATAAATCTTCATTAGCAATTCATTCAGATGGTCAATAACTTGAAATTTATAGCTGTGATAGGAGTTCAGAAATTGGCACATCCCTTTTTAAAAAATGTCAAAAAAAATACAACTCCTGGGAAAAAGGTGCTGATTCTATAAGATTATTTATATATGTAAGAGTGCAAAAAAAAAAGTTTATTTTCCAGAAAGTTTGTGCAGGGTTTAAGTTGCTACTGTTCAAGTACACTATATATATATAAATATATAATATAAATATTGTTTTTGCTGTATCACATTAAAGAACTTGGGCTTCAGGGTCAAAAGCCAATTGACTAGAAATATACAAAAAAAAAAAAAAAAACACAAAAAAAAATGGAGATGTGTTAAAGGCACACGGTGCAAATTTTAGTTTTCGTTTTCAGTAATATTTTGGAGCTGCAAAAGAACAAGTATCTCAAGACTGTAAAAGCATTACCTGAAATATAGCTAAAAGAACTGCACGGGCTTTATAATATTGTTCATCTTAAACCTTGCTGGAGAAGAGTTCTTTCAAGACCACTTACTTAATGTGAAGTGTTGGGAAAATTTCAAAGGGTGTATGTTTTAGCCATAACAATTTAATTTCTATTTTTGCTTCATTTTTTAATTTTTTCTTATTTAAAGCAATATGATTGTGTAACTCCCAGAAGTTACACATTTGTTTCAATCAGATCAGATTGTTGTATTTATTCCACTATTTTGCATTTAAATGATAACATAAAAAGATATAAAAAATTAAAACTGCTATTTTTCTTATAGAAGAGAAAATGGGTGTTGGTGATTGTATTTTAATTATTTAAGCGTCTCTGTTTACCTGCCTAGGAAAACATTTTATGGCAGTCTTATCGTGCAAAGATCGCAAAAGGACAAAAAAAATTAAACTGCTTATAATAATCCAGGAGTTGCATAATAGCCAGTAGTTAAAAAGCGAAACAAAACAAAAAATAAAAACAAACATGTCTATAGCTGTAGATGGGCTTCACATCTGTATAGCAATCAACTGTATATTTTTGTGATGTGTATCATACCGTGTGCTCCAACCAATGTCCATTTGTGTAAATGTATTTATTTTATATTGTATATATTGTTAAATGCAAAAAGGAGATATGATTCTGTAACTCCAATCAGTTCAGATGTGTAACTCAAATTATTATGCCTTTCAGGATGATGGTAGAGCAATATTAAACAAGCTTCCACTTTTGATTGCTTTTATTTTATTTTTTGTGTTGTGGGGTTTTTTTGGTTTTATTTTCTTTTTCTAAGAAGGAAACAAACCAATTAGCATTACCTTTTGTTACTTCCATTCAAAGAGTAGCAAGCATTACCCCTCTTCCCTCGAAGTACAATATGAGTGTAAATAAATGCTATATAAAGCCTTGTCAGAATGAATTCCAGTGTGGTACAAGACATTTTGCATATTTAAGAGTATGCAAAATGTCTCATAGCACATTAGAATTCAGGCTGACAGGCCTTTATATAGCACTTATTTAATCTTAAAGCATCTTCACATCAACCTGCATTACTCAAAATCATTGCCTCTCTGTCAATGTCATAAAAGAAAACTTTCCCACTATTTTAAGATCACATTAATATCATCTGGAGGTACTTATTTGCTTTCTCATCAACAAGCGAGTCTATCATTCATTTCCTGCCGTAGGAGATTCCTTTTGTGTGTTTGGGTAATAAAAAGAAAAAAGAAATCTGTATCAATTTGATCCAGCTTTTCTGAATGGAAGTAAACAGCCACGGGAGCGATAATATAGATTGGTGTTAATGAAGAGCACCGATAAGTCTTCAAGATCCAAAGGGGTTAACCAGCATGGTTCAAATCCGACAGTAAGTGGCCTTGCAGCCTCTTGCGTCTGAAAGGCTGCAGCCCCGATTGCTCGGGGTCAGCCCACGCTGCCTGTGGACCCTTCTGGAACCATCACAAAAGTGCTAATGTGTGCTTTTCTTGCTTTTTAGCTTGTCTTGATAGTATTTTGTCATTGTGTGTGCCAACATGTTTCTCACCTTCGCTGCTGGCCGTTCTCTGGAGATTTTGGCCGATGACACAAAGGCTACCGAGCAGCGTGACACCTGGGGGCAGGAGCTACCAGGGGCTCTTTGTGCGTCGCAGGCTTCTGGTACTAAAACGCCTCGGAATGGGAGGGGATCGCTTTACTGCTGTTAGGACTGTCTATATTTTAACTGTACTAATAATTGGGGGTTTTCAGTTAAAGGAGCAGCAGAACAATAGGAAGTTTAAGGACTTTAAAGGAAGATGTTAGTGTTGACAGTGGTGTGTGCATGTGTACGCAGGCATTTGTGCATAGACGCACAATGCACAGAGCTGCTTTTCACTCCTCTTCAGTCTTCTGATTTTGAATTATTGCAAAGTAGCTCTTCAAAGGAAAACTAATATTGCACCATGCCTTAAGAGTGAAAAAAGGGGTGTTGCAATTTCTCACGCACAAAGGGGAAAGAAAGGTATTTGTCAACAGTGGTGCTTAGTCTCCCTCAGCACGGGATTGCACCTACTCGCTGGTGAAATGCTTTCACATACAATTTAAAAAATCTTAATTAGCATTTCTGTAGCACTTTTCATCAGGGGCTCATGCAGCACTGTACTATCATAAATCTAACATTATGGAAGAGAAAACATAGGAGGGAAAATACAGGGAACAGTGAAATACAGCGACTTTGAGGGATGCAAGTCTGCAGAGTTGATTGAGTTATAGTTTTTTTCTTTTTACATTTTTTTTTCTTTCTTTTTTCTTTTTTTTTTTTTTTCTTTTAAAACCTTGCCCTGTCTTTGCAGCAAAGCCAGGAAGTGGATAGAAACCCACTGGAAGTGTTTAGGTAGGCAGAAACGTTTTGCTAAGTATCTGTGGGGAATTTGGCTAGGAGCACAAACCTCTCTAAACTATGAAAATAGCTACGAAATCTTGAAAGCAAAGAAAGGGCTTGGGGCAGTGGCATTAGTAGCTCAACCAGCATGTGCTGCTACCGCTCGCTATCCAGCGCTAAAGACCTAAAGCGCGGCTGCAGCAAGGCCACTTTACTAAAATACAGAGACTGGCAAACCGGCAGAGTGCTCCCGTGGTGGCTATGGCTCATCTCAGCGAAACGAGATTTCTACTGACACAGTCTGCATGCCCACTCCCCTCCCCAAATAAGACACGCCAGCCCCGTGTAGAAGCATGGCTTTGCCACCGTGGCAGCCAGCTTGACGGGCGTCTGTCCCTGTCCCCACGTCAGGCTGGCCACCGAGCGCTCCTCTCCTCCCACGCTGTTACCCTGGCACCGTCTGCACACACAAGCTGGCCAATGCCGTCAATATTGATGCAAAAGGAAACTGTGCCGCGTGCCGAGGTGGCTACTGAATGGCACGGGATTTCTGAGGGGCTCTGAGCGTTCTTCGGAGCTTCGCATCCAAGAAATCGCCTCACTTGATTTGATCTCGGCTTTTTTGTTCGGGTGGTTGTTTTGTTGACCTTGTGGGTTCACAGTGTGAAAAGGTCTGGCAAGCACCAATAAAAAGTAGTTTGTGGTGGTCTCTCCAGCTGATCCTTCCTTAGAGATGGAAAAGGAACAAAAATCCTGCAGCAATCAATGCTATTATATGTGCAGTTCTGTGGGCTTCTTAATACACTGTGCCAATGCCGCTGAAATGCAAATAGAAGTTAAAATGAAAAAAAAAAAAAAAAAAAAAAAAAAAAAAAGAAAAGTCAAACAAAAAAGACAGATTTGGATAATAATTTGGGAATATTGCCCTTAGGAGTACAAGCTCCCATGCTGTAGCACTCTAAATGCCCTCCTGTGGGATCACCTGGCAATAGCCTAGTGGGGAGAAAAAAAAAAAAAAAAAAAAAAAAGGCTCATTCAGCAGAAAGCATGTCCTTTTTTTTTTTTCTTTTTTTCATTTTTTTTTTCTTCTATCTTTTCCTCTTTTCCTCTTCATTTTCCTTTTTTCTCGTTTTGTTTTGACCATTACTTATCGAGGCTTCTGCCCTAAACTTAAGAAAGGAAGATAGGGAAAGCCTTCATCTGTTTTCTGAATTCCTATGTAGTTTTTCTACAGAGGCTGTTCATTCTCCTTAACAGATATTTTTTTTCTTGCACTCCCCCCTTTACGTTGTATTTTGTCTTTCTAGTGTAATGTAGGTCTCTGATTTCATGAGGCACTTTGCTAATTACTATATCCTTCGTTATACAGCCTGGCTGCAATAGCTGCATCACAAGGAGTGTGTTTTTCCTGTCTGATAAGCTGCTGATTCTGTGTGTATAGATTGTCTCTCCTCTACCATACAATTCACAAACTTCCTCCTTGAGGCTGTGCTATTTAAAACAAACAAACAAACAAACAAGAAAACTAAGCACAGGAAAGAATATGGATACATTTACTTGTTCTTAACAGTTTTCATTCACAAGTGTTCAAAAGTGTTTGCGTTGATGCATCCTGACTGTGCTAATTGTTACCATTTTGTTAAGATTAAAAGCCATTCTTCCTTAGCATTCAGAATATTGAGCCCAGTTTCTTACAATCTCTGTTAATATAAAAAAGCAAGTGGTGGTAGATTGATTACACGCAGAATCTTATTATTAAGCAGAACAGAAAAGAAAGGAATTTCAAAATATAATCCTCGGTTCCCAGGAGTATTTGTCTTGTTCTCCATGAAGTTAAAGGTCTGAAATAATGTGCCCATCAGGAGCTCAATGTTGCATGTCCATGCCAGTTGGTCCAAGGGCTTGTTATGATGGTAATGACCTGCTGAAACGTGAGCTTTGATGGCAACAATACAATTGCTACCAGCTCACCCGCTGGGAGAAATATTTTATTATTGTCAAATGCCCTCCGCAGAGATTTGTTTTGCCTGTTCCTGTTTAAATTAAATTCAGAGCAGAACTGCATTATTATTTCTCTAGAGTATATTTGAAATAAACAACTAGTCTCCAAATTTAGGATTCCTGGTTAGTTTAAATTTTCTTATTAGCAGAAAAATTACAATAGGTGACAACATAGCTGCAGGAATATTATTATGGCAGCCATACAAGAGATTTACACACTGAGAGCATGGCCTAAAAGCACAAGAACTCCCTTCTACTTTACAAATGCCAGCCAAATTAATAATTAACTGTGCCATAAATTCTACAGCCTTAAAGAATGATGTCAATGCTTTTCTGTGTCACACTAGAGGAATTTTGTCATAAGACTAAGCGGGGTTCTTTATAAAGAGTGTTACTTAGATGTAGAAAGCAGACCCAGAAAACAGACCTTGCCACTCTGCATTACAGCAGCTCAGTGAACGAGTGACAGCAGGACTTCAGAGTCATTTACTATTGCTTTCTCAAGGCAAAACTACGTCCTTACGCCTGTGAAACGGAGCAAATTTTGTTACACATTAAATGGGCCAGATTATCTCTTCCACGAGCTAAAGAGACAACACTAAATCCCAGCTCATGTAATTTCCTTCAAAATTGTTCTGCTCAGGCCGGGTGTTCCCAGGAGCGCCACCAGCAGAATTATCCAGCGATTCAGCCGTACTTACACTGGCAGATGTCTGAGATTTAAGGCAGTCCCGAAGCCTTAGCACAAATCCCGTACCTCTCTGCTGCTTCATGGCCTCGTCTCGCTCATCAGCCGCTGCCCACTGCCGAGCAGCCGGCACTGTGGCCTGCTTTGATGAAAATGATTTCATCTGGTGAGGCACTTTAGCACAGGACAGGCATCTTAGCACAGGCTAGGTGGGCTCCACAAGCTGCTTGATAGAGGGCAGGCCATCTACCCACTGCAAAATGCCGGCCTGCTACTAGAGGAGCCACCAAATGCCTGGAGAGGGAGGGACGCCGATAGGGAGGCAAGGGCTGGGAGATGCCTCCCCTCGCAGTGATTCCCCTTCTGCTTTGCAGATCGCACTCCTAACACTCTCCAGTTCAATCTACCATGCTCTGTCTGATTTCACAGCTTCGTTGGGAAGGTCCACAAGGTGAGGGCTGGCTGTCGGAGGAAGTCTGTGGGGACACATGTACCGGTCTGTGAGGGTGTCACGGCAGTGCCAGAGGTCAATGGGGCTCCTCTGTGGCTCTGAAAGGAAAGCCTGCATAACACCCTCAGTAGTTTCCCTCTTTACTGCTGCCCCTAATTAAATCATAATGATAATAAAACCACAACAACTGGATCTGCAAGCCAGTGAAAATCTCCATATCATGAAACAGAAG